TGGGTTGAGCTGAGTTGGGTTGGGTCAGGCTAGACTGGGCTAAGCTGGGTAGTTCTTAGTTGGGTTGGGAAAGGTCAGGCTAGACTGGGCTGAGCTGGGTTGTACTGAGTTAGGTTGGGATTGGCCTGACTAGACTGGTAGTTGCGCTGGTTGGGCTTGACTGGGCTGGGTCGGGTGTGGCCAGACTGATCCAGGCTTTGCCTGGCAAAGCTAAACTGGGATAAGCTGGGCTGGGCATCTTCACTGCGGGTAAAGATTGGCCAGTATACAACTTGAATTTTGTTCTGGGCTGGGCATCTTCGCTGCTGGTAAAGATTGGCCAGTATACAACTTGAATTTTGTTCTCAGGTGGTGTCAACAACTATATGTCTGTGCTGTGTCGACAAGGCAGGAAGGCGGCACTTTCTCCTGGTAGGAGCAGGCATTATGACGGTTATCATCATTATTTTAGGCATTGTTGCTCAGGTAAGACATCTGCTTGTCACGTGATTGTTACTTGGCTTCTGGGAAGGTGAAAGGGGCATACCTTATTCTATGATGCCATGCCACATCTTGGGCTTGTCAGAGAATAGTGTTGAGAATTCATTTCGTGATTGGAAAAGTCGTCTTCTGTTTTTGAAATGTAAGAAAAAGACGAGGCAGTACTTGAATGCACAGCATTAGAGAGGATTTCGTCGATAGCATCTCCAAATAATGTGTTACTCAAACCCCTAATTTGAATCCGACTTGAGTTGCATTGTTGATGTCTGAGCCTGGAGTTACATGGAGTAATAACTCATGACTTGGACTCAGACCTACCAATATTGAAATTGGTCTACGATATTTAAATTGTTAATTTCACCACATAGTGAAGGATGGGATATTTGTGACACACCACAATAGCACTAATGGTGCATTGATCTTTTGCACACGATATATTAGAGTGATGTGTGGCAACTACAAGCCAGTAAGTCACCGAGATGAAGCCAAAGAAATCTCGTCTTCTGTTCTCTGTTCAATGCAGACGTAGTTTCAGCACTTCATCTCAGACAAATGCATATTTGCAAAATAGTTCTTGTTTCTACTTCCAAGTTTTCACTACCAGATCAGGCAAAGAGGTCGTGCATTATTCCAAACACAGCAGATGACCAACCAGTTGTCCACCAGATGACCATTCCTCAAACGCAAGGCAGTTTATCCTTCGGCCAGAACACTTCTCCAAGTCTGCTTTCGGACTGGTTGAGTGCTGACGGACCGAGCAGGGTCCAGCGAGAAGTTTTGCAAAGTGAAACTCATCTAGCAACAGGAAGCCAGTCTGTAGAGGCACCATTTGCTGGTAAACACACCAGCATCAATGGTATTTATAAAGCTGGACATGAAGTAAACCGACGTGAAAGGTGGACCAAATACTTTGACGAGGAAAGTAGAGACATTTCAACGGTGCATCCTTTAACCAGCCTGCCCGAATATTTAAAAGCTGTAGATTCAGTGGAAGGCAGTACCAATGCAACACACCATGTGCTTTCAAAATCATTTACAAAGGGACCAGAATATTCCAATTTCAAACAACAATCACCGACCACCAGAAAAGTTCAAGAATTGAAGCAGGATGAACTCCAAGCAGTCTCTAAGCACACTGCACAAGAATTTGAACAAGGAGCAACATATCAACTGAAGCTTGCAAAGCTTGGCGTCAGAGAGGCCCAGTCTGTAACACCTGCATTTTCTAGTACAAAGTCACAGAGCCATGCAGCGGCCTATTTCAGGAAGGAAGGGGTGGAGATTGATCAACCCAGGGCGAGGGCAGAACGGGATGTGAACCCAGTCTCTTCTGCAGTCACTGAAAGGCCAACCACATTCATATCTGCAACAGGTAGCATTCCAGAAGTCACACCATCTCTCAGCACAACACCAGCAGATGAGCAGTATCCAATAAAAGACACAGTCCCACGTACTGACAACTTGGCCAAAACACCAACTCAATCACAAGTAATAGATGAGAAAGAGGGAGGTCATCTGCAAAACCTCACTGGATCAACACCACCTTCAGGAGGGGACCCCAGTGACATGGACCCAGGTATCTACACGACTGCCACTAGAGTACATGGGACAGACACATCTACTGGACCTTCAGAGACCACACCACCTAAGGCAGAACTAAGCATTGCACATATTGTGGCATTCGTCTCCCTGACACTGTATGTAGGAGCGTATTCGTATGGCTTTGGGCCAGGTGAGTTTGTTGTGACGTCTGAATGTTAGGTGGAAAATCCTTGTAATCCACTAAAGATAGCCAGGGGTCTCTGATATGTGAGTTATGTGAAGCCTTTCCGTCAATTTGAAGGGACGTAGTCTCAGATTCTCTCCTACCACTGATTATGGGGTCAAATGTCTCAACATCAAATGTCATTCCTCTATAGTTTTAAGTCCAACCACTTTTCAATTCTACAGTCATTTACATGTGAATTGGTAAATTGTAATTACAAGATCAAAGTTTGTGCAACATCCTTTGTTATTTAATTTTAAAATTTGTCATCCATTTATTTTGTATTTTGATACGTATATGTACTTTGACCTTCCCTACGGCAGGTCAAACCATGCTGTTAAAATAGGACCGGTTTTAGGATATCAACTCAAAGGTTTTTCTCGCTTTAAAAATGAATGAATTTTGGGCATGAATTGCTCATTATGTTATGTATTCCTTGTCAGAATTTAAGAACATTCTTTGATTTAAAAAAAGAGGGTACACTGTTGAAGAGAAGTTTTTTCATAGAGTTAAATTTCATTTCCACTAATTACCCAGTTACCTGGCTGGTATTGAGTGAGATCTTTCCCGTCGGTATCCGAGGCCGAGCGAGTTCACTGGCGACCGTGTTCAATTGGGGTACCAACGTGCTGGTGTCCCTGACCTTCCTGGATGTGATGAGTAAGTGAAGACCTACAGCTTCAGATTACTTTGCATTTGATGGTTCCCCCTCATGCTTAGTCACTCAAGCAGAACTGTATTTGATTGATCTCTTGCATGACTTCACCTGCTTACTTAAGCATGGCCCCTGTAGGCAACCTGTTTAGCTGGTTACTTTGGATAGGTGTCCGACAATACAATGTGAAAATATGACACTTTGACCAGGGAAAGTTGACTATCCATAGCAATTTTTTCAGACTACCTGTCCTTCATAGTGGAGGATTTTCTCGAGCCAAGGAATTTTCTTGTAAAGAAAGCCCAAAATGTGTTTTTCCATGTCCATTTCTGTTGACAGCTCACGTCCATTTTGCAAATGTAATCACTGTGTGGCCTCTTGACCCGTTCCAATTGCTGTTCACCTCGAGTAACCCAAGATCATCTGTTTATCACTGCAGATGGTTCATGTGCATTTATACCAGAGATAAAAGTAGTGGTCAGCACAAGAGAAGTAGTTGAATGCAGTGCCTAAAATTCTGACCTTCACACTCTAACCTTAAAACCTGCAATGTTGAGGTGTGGTTACTGAGCTCTACCGGCACTGTAGCTTGTTCAGGGGGACCCAAAGTGTCCCATGTTTGCAACAGTTGTAAAATCTCAAAGCTAACTTGTCTGTACTTACTGGGTCAGGTCATTAGTACTCCATACGTGATTTGTGGAATTTTACCAATGCTTCACTGCTTGAGTCATGCAAGTCTTAGCAAGCTTCAACAGGATTTGAAGTTTTAGTATTCTTCATGAATTTCACTTTCTCTGTTGCGTGTTTTAGATGGCATTGGTCCCTCCTGGACATTCTTGCTGTATGGTCTCATATGCAGCCTGGCATTCATCTTCATTTACTGCTCGGTGCCCGAGACCAAGAATCGATCCCTGGAGCAGATTTCAGCTGCACTCAAGAAGAAGTAAGCTGTTGCTTGGTAGTCAAGATATGCATATCACACCCAGAGATGTAGGTTGAATCAAGTGAACTGACATAAATGTGACGTTCAGGAGACTGCTGTCAGTGATAAAAACCGTCTCATGTATTTGCTATAATTCTTTGTAATTTAGCCGATAGTTGAAAATCTCTGCATTTTTCAGAGAGCTGAGAGTGACGCGTGCTATTGCTTTAAATGTTCCAGTTCATTTGCATTTGTCTTGTGTTGTTTCTTGCGTTGCCATTTCTGACAGCTACATCAGTCTCAACAGTCTTAGACACTTTTTTCTATATTCATTCCCATCTAACTTTCAATGCTGAGGTTATTGTAACCTTTAATTCTTATTTTCAGAACACCAAGTTAGCATTTTGGAAATTTGTTTAGTCAAGTTTTGAGTTAGATACATGTAATGGGGCCAGGAATGTTTTTGGACAGTAGAGATTATGCATTGCTGGCATTTTCATGGTTTCTCAGAGGCTGTTTTTGTTATTTTAAAATGAATGCACAAAAGGTTTTTTCCCAGTGGTAGAAAACTCTTGCCCTCTGGGGACGCATTAACTCCTAACCTCTAGTTCACCCATAAAGGCTGACGTAAGCTTTAAAAAAAATCCAACATTTCTTTGACCACATTTGCAATTACCAGGTCAAATCTGACTGGTCTGCCAGGCCATTGCTGTCTCCGGAGAGTGGGCTTCTGCTGTTCTTGTTGCCATGGGAACAAGCATCATTTGCTCCCTCTGACAGACTCCCACAGCGACACGCAGGGAGCAGATGATCCAATTGGTTTCGTGGACACGGATAACACACAAATTTGATCGGGATAAAATGGTCTTAGTTTAGAGTATTTTCATAAGAAACGTTTAAGAAATGTGTAAGCAGGTATTTTTATTGTCTTTATTATTTTAGTTATTGCTTTAGAATTGATGCCTATGGGTTTTGTATGTTTCTTCTCTATATTCTTACATTGTCCGACTCAGACATTTTGAGGTTGCAGTTGTCAAGAAAGCTTGTGGCTATGTCAACTGACAAAACAAAAACAAAAATGTATGTTAAAACAACAGAAATTATTGCACTTGAACCTTCCCCCGTTTCTGTCTCCTGATTGGCTAAGAACACATCATGTGTAGTACTTTAGTCGAGACCACTGAAGACCCACCAGTCATCTCAAGACCTCCACTCTGAATTCTGGTCCTAATCTACTCAAATGAACTTCAACAAAAGCAGCTGGCTAGCCATTGTTCCTGCAGTTACTTGTGACTGGTGCCGTGTCCGGCCTTATGATGTCTTGACTACACCAATAATCATAGGGTATTTGTTGTAACTACATTATGCACTCTCTCAGATACTTCATTGGGGCAGCCTCATCCTTGGAAGTATGATATGCAGGGGTGTAGCCACGGGGAGGGGGCCTGGGGAGCTGTCGGGTGTGCACACGTGTGTGTTGTACTTGCTTTTTGGATGCCCTGTGGTTCACAGACCTTTTTTTTCAGGAATTGAAAATACCCGCATTTCAGAAGCTCTACCTTTTTTACGAATGGGGTAGCGAGGATTCTTTGATGTTGGGAAAAAATGGAAGGTCTTGTTTAGAAAATATTTCCATCCTCCCACGTAAGACCTGGACACACCCCTGGGTTGACACATGGCAGACATATACATGATCAGCCTTCCGCATTGTACATGTAATGCCTCGATTGTTGGTCAGTACTTACCTAGTTCTTCACTACAGTCATTGTCCGTGTGTGCAACGGGAATTGTTCCACGTGAAAACAAACATGTTTGTTGAGGTTTGCATTTTTTGAACAAGGTAATTCATGAGGATTTTCTGCTTTGTTTTTAAAAGTACTTTCATTCAAGTTTGCAATAACTGAAAGTAACACATTTGTGAAAGAGGCATTGACAATCTACGAGCTATTCTTGCCTGATTTTGTGCAACTAAGAGTTCTGAGATTTTACAGTAGTAAGTTTCAGTTTGGTCACGTGCATTTGTGAAAATGTTTCATTTTCTGAAAGTTGTATTTGGAAAAATATAGTTGCAGTGCCAGAACATTACATTATTCATGCTTAAAGCAATAAACAAAAAATTTTAGTACTCAATGTCAGTAAAAACATATGCATACCCAGACATTACTGGCTTACAATAAAATGAATTATATGTTCAAGAAAAGATGATCAGAACAATGCACCTGTTCATGTGCAGTGTTGGCCCTAACGACTTGCTTTTTTAATGTTTTAGAATATCCCACTTTGTTATTGTTTTTATAAGTCTGAAAGGTATTTTTAAGGCATATTTTGTAACTTAAAAAAAAAAAGAAAGCTATTCTTAAATGTATATTCACTGATCATTGATATGAAGTTTTTATGCAGTGCTTCACTTTATGCAACAGGCAAGTCTATTGAAAAAGTTAAGTCTTCTTAAGAGGAAAAAATACCACAACAAAGAGGGCCAAAGTGGTAACAATATGGTGAATGTGTTGTCACATTTATGTCACACAGGCTGAACGATTTAATGTTGATAAAATTGGTTTTATATGTGTGGACAAACTTCAATACTAAGGGGAGAAAACAGGATTTCAAAGGAACAAATAAAATTGAGGTGTGGCTATTTCAGGGTTAAATATTTCCCAAGGGTTATCTGATGAACACTCCCAACGACCCAACCCCCTAAAATGCAATGCAAATTGGGAGAAACAAATATCAGACTTATCTAGGCTTATTTGGCAGTGGAATGATAGGAGAATACATCTTAGGTTGGACTTAGTTCACTCACACTACACTAGAAGTCAAAGTGTGAGAAATTTTCAGTTCATTTAATTATCTATTTCCAAGACAGGTTTGCAACATTTCAGAAGTGCATCGTACTTTACAGTTAATGAACATGACTCATAAACTTGGTGTTATAATTCTCACTTCATTTAAAAAGCCAATCTAAGTAAGTTATTGATATCTCTGTAAACAATGGCTTCCTTGCATTTTATGCCATTCAAAGTTTTGTCAAATGTAAAATTAACACACAAAAGAAAGACATTCCTTGAACTAATGTTCAGCCATGGGTGCAAGTCAGTTGAAACTGATAAGAAAGTCCAACAGATTACTTTGAGCAAATTACAAATATGCAGATACTAATAGTACTGAATTTGGTTTTAATCTGAGTTTGGATAATCAAAGCCTTGGGGAACAAAATATTCAAGGATTAAGAAAAAGGACCCTTCATTCTTTATTGGATAGAGCACTCAGGATGGTTGAATGTTGAGTGAGGACACTCCCTTAGCTCACATGCATTATTAGTGTTCAATTGTGCCCCCTGGTGGGTATCATGTTGACATAGGATGCACCACATGTGGCAAAGGGGGACCCCACTCTATAGTGGCTTCTTTCACGTTGACTGAATCTTTGGAATTCCTTTCAGATTTGGGGGGGGGGAGGTGCATGAGGCACAATAGCCTTGGGTTATGTAGTTTGTGCATGGCATTAAGGGGGGGGTTCCCTTTGCCACATATCGTGTTGGGTATCATGTTGAGGGAACAATGTCTTGTTTGAGTACAAGTAGGTGTCGCAACTACGGATCAAGTATGTTTGCTTGGGTTGGCCTTCACCACATTGAGGGGACATTTTCTTTTCTCAAAAAAATCAAGATTGAGTTGCAGGGGCAAACATTTGTCCCCGTAACATTTTGGTCCCCATGATATCTGTGTAATGTGTAGTCTCTCACAAGGAGTAAGTACTTAGGTGTGTTTTTGTTGTACATGTGTGACCAATGTCAAACTGAATACGTAAAACCACAGTATAGAATGTGCACTTACCAATTAATTGCATTAGAGGAATAACCTAGGCCAGAGGTGTAGCTGAGTCCTTTTTCTAACTTCCAAATGTTCCTGACTACAAGAGCTTAATGGGAGCTAGCAGATACAGGCACCACTGACGATTAGCCGAGGTCATATTTGAACCAGTGAACATGAGTATTCAGACATGACTAGACACTGCCACGAAACAAAACATGCTTTCTCTTCAAAACAGCTACTTTCAGAATAAGCAGTTGAAAAAGCAACAAACAAACTCAAAACCAGGTAACTCCATGGGTATTGTGAGTGTTCAAGAACAACCTACTTCAATACATCACTGAGTATTGAGAAATCATCCCGGCTTATTCTATGCCATGAAATTCCCTACCTGCAGTTGGACAAAATTTCACCTCTACTGCTTCATTTGCACAGTTATTTGCTGGAAGGAAAACTCTTAACAAATGAAACAAATAAAAGGAACAAAAAATTGTCAGTTAAAATTGTTTAAGTAGTTTCTCTAAGTAGCTTTGTGAATCCATATTCATTTCAGTGGTCCTATCTAAGTAGATTTTATAAAAATAGATTATGCAGTTGAGCTATCAGTGCAATGCATAACTTTTAAAGCAGTGGCAATTTCTAGTTTGAAAATAAAAATTCCATTATCAAGTGATCAATAAGTATGTAAAATATTTCTTGGTGGTCCTTGTCCAGTTCCAAGGTAGTTTAAACTTGAATTTCACATCAACTTGATTGCATAGAAGTTACAACATTTACAGATACAAGTGCTGATTTTTCACATTTGCTGGCAGAATTATTAATTTGATGTCACAGAATTTTGGGGGGAAAATGGAAATTTTGTGCTAACTTTTAGGTCACTGAATAATGAACAGCAGCCTACATTGTGCAGTTTAAGAATGACATGATCAAGTTATGTTACTGTCCTTAAACACCTTATGTATACTCCATACAGCAGGCATCAGGTTACATTTGATATATGAGCATTTTTTTCAATTAGCAGTTACCCAAAAGCCTCTTGAAATAGACATCACTGTATTGAAACTTCTTAAGAGGATGTTGATGGTGCATTAGGCACGCTTTGGTACCAGATTTGTACTGGCAATCCCAGGTGTGTTCCACTTCCATCCAGAAAGGCAAATGAGCTCTAAACTAGCAAATCAAAAGTTGGCCAGTTGCAAGTATCTAAGTAACAAGGGATGAATTGTGCCAATCGGATAGCCTTTGTCACAGTTCATTTCAATGGCTTGTCACTTGATTGAAGACTGGATAACTTGTTACTGTCTTTTGGTGATGTCTTGTCATTACATCACCAACTGTGATCTTCATGTGCAAATTCAGTTTAAAAAAAAGGTTGAAAAAGCTTGTGTAAAGCGGAACACACAGTTAAGCTGGATGTATAGAATACTCAAAGGATTAGATTTGTATGGGTCTCGATGAAATAATTATCGGATTGGCTTACAGCACGGTGTTTCATGCTGATGACTACACAGCCTTGCGGCACTCCTACAGTATGACGTAAGTCGCAGCCGTAGCCACACCACAGTTGTTGTCCTGTTGGCTCATGAGGACGTAGCCGTTGTTCCCCCAGTAGGTGGACCAGGAGTTTTTGATGATCCAGTAAGGGGTAGATTTCTTGTCCACTATCATAGTGCCGTAGCCCACAGCCAACACGGCGTGGTCCAGGTCTCCCGGCTTGTTACCTGTGTGATAACAATTGCTTCAATTAAGACAAGATACTGAAAAACAGTGGAGAATTTATCACTACTTGTCTACATGTATTACAGGTTAACTAACAATTGTACACATATAGGTGCTCTGTTTGCCAAGCCATTAGTCATGCGTGCATATCTATTAGGCTATTTTTAATTTAGTATGGGTTGATACGTTCATTTCTTTAAGTGCTTTGTACTAAATATAACGCCGATAATATTGTACCTTTTGCAATGGCTGGGAACTGACAACTGCATTACAGAAGCTATGATTTGACTTGTATAGGATTACTACATGACAACTCATGCCTCTGCAGTGCTGTAAATTTTTTTAACAGTAAACTGCTATGTACTGATTCCTTCCGCAGTGCTGCATGGAATAAAGCACATCTCTTGGTGAAATTAAATGTCTGATTTTGCATACTTCCGATATCCGTAAAAAGAAAAAAAACTGTGAGGAATTCAACACAACCATATTATGAAAATTATTCTCAAAACTGCTGAATTTTTTCTCTTTGAAGGCTTACAGCACTGGCAGTGAATTCCTTGTCTCCAAACCAGTTCAGGTATACTCCTAGTTGTACAAGCATGTACTTAACAGTCGACATATTACATGAACAAACAAATTGAAAACACATGCAGACCAGCTGTAAGTGCAATGAAGATCCTCATGTACTAGGTGGTTATTTACCGCATGCTTTGTCGTAGTAAACACCAGAGGCATAGAAAGAGAACGTCTTCAGATGGGCATCTATGCCCACGGCTATGGGACCCACATTGGCCAGGGCCAGTGTAAGAGCTGTCTTGTTACCAGACTGCACTTTGGTATAATTTGATAGCTTCACTCCGGCTTTGGACGCATCGAAGTGGCATTTTCCATCCTGTGAAAAAATTAGGGAGGAGGAAGTTGTAACTGAGATGTGAATAATTCAGAAATAACACACGTTTATGTTATGTATTCACTGTTGAAATTCCGTTGTTTTCATGTAGTTCTGAAAACTCAATGAAAACATTCATTTTGTTTGAACTCAGAACACTCTTTTACACTAGTTCCCTTGACTGATCCTTTTCCTTTTACTACGAATATTCCTAAACTGAACACGCCTCTAAAATTGTTTCTGAGAAAGGAGATAACCTTGTGTAGAGCTGGCTTAATTTACACAAATGTGTTGATCACAGCCAAAAGGGTGACGCTATCTTGCCAAAATGCAGAGTCATTGGCCAATATTTTTGAAGAAAGAAACAATCACTGTAGTTTGCTTATTCTTACACTCCACAGAATGTACATGTATGTGTCACGGGAAAATGGCACACTAAGGCTAAGGGAACTCACAATACTATATAAAAAAAAATAACTACTCGGGGATCTGCTGGGATGAGTCACAGGGAACTGAATTAATAAGGACTCAGACACAAACTAACTTCTAGGTTTATTAAAAGACAAAAAGGCAAATGAAGTTATTTACAGAAACAACTAGATGACAAATCAACCACTTCAACTGAACCTAAAAAAGCAATGAAAACCCAATTAAATGTCCATCAAATGCCCAGCCCCTCTGAGTCCATTACAAGTCATCTAAAGTCACAAGCTAAACAAAATAATGAACTGCGACAAAACTTGAACAGTCCTTTATCACTGTTCAACCTGTTACTTGTGACTTGTCTTGTGAAAGGACTTGTGACTGTACATCTAAAGGGAAATGTGATGGACTTGACAACAGTGCTTTTTTACCTGGCCCAAGTACGGTCCATAGGCCTCCTCGGTCATCAATCCTTTATTGGCCAGAACCCACTCGTAAGCTTGGAATTCCTCCCCTCCATTGCAGCCCATGTTACCGAAGCCCCAGGAGCAGTCCATCAGATTCTGCTGTGAGAATCTCACCATCTTCCCGTTCTGAAAGAGAGAAAATATCAGGAAGGAATTTAAACCTCCTTCATATTCATGATTAAGAGCAGCATGCATTGATCCAGGTCAAAGAGCGAAGCGTCTACTAAGCATGCACCATGTGAAGCTATCATTCAACTGTTTCACACAGCGTATAAGTATGCATCATACAAGCACTTCCCTAGTTACACATGAAAAGATGACAGCATGCATAAAGTAACTCACTATGAGACAATAAGTCACATGCACCTGAGTAAGTTGGATCCTTAGCGGCATTTAAGAGAACCTTGCATAATGCAAATGAATATGAACCCAGAAATATCTGTCACCACATTTCATTTATTCATATTATGATGCCAAACTGAATGATTCATCATAACATAGAGCTCAGTTTGCTCTCTCTAGTACAAACAAAAAACTTTAAAAACCTCTTTGGTGACTTCTGGCTCATTATCTCAGAGCGGGTCAAAAACGGTCATTAACATTACAGCAAAGGGGAAATTTGTTCTAATTCTCTTGTGCTGTATACAGTCAGGCACTTGTAGCTGTGACTGGTTGGTTATTACCGGCAGCAGATTATCATGGGTGCCAAAAGGATTTTTTTCGGGGAGGGGGGTATACACTGTAGCTCAGAAAAGAAGGGAATGGGTCAATTCTAAGATATTTTAAAGAAAACAGACCTTTGTCTTCTCTCCCTTCCCTTATTCTTGATCTACTTTTTTCTCCCTTTGTTTTGCCCCCTCCAAGTGTGCATAAAGAATAGAGAATATCTATGGCAATAGATTAATATAAAGAGTGCCCTCTATTATCCAAGTTTTAAAAACCTTACGTTGTTAGGGTTAAGACAGCAGCCCTACCTTCTTAAAGTAAGCACCCTCTATAACTTCGGCTGCCCCAAAGCTCCAGCATGAGCCACAGATAGCCTGGTCCTTGACTTGTGACACTGACCCTGCACAGAGTGAAATACAGGTTGAGGTTTACCATGGTGTTTAGGTTGGTCCCTATTTGAGGGGATGATTTCTTACGTTAGGAAATTTGGGACTTAGTTTCGGGGACAACAAATTTGTCCCCGTAACTGTCGCTGAGTGCATGTGACCCACTCTGTGAAAATGAGTCTTAAGTCGCCAGAGCCACTTTTAGAGTTTTCATTTGTCTTGGAAAAAGCAAATCAACTTTTTTCTTTTGATGTATCACTCAGTTTGGCATCCTGATGAAAGTGGATACTCCATGGTGAAAAAATGCTGTGGGTTCCTATTGATTTACACTGTGCAAAATTATTTTAAAGGACTTTTTACTCCAAAGTGTCTCTGGCAACTTAAAACTCATTTTTACAGAGTGGGTCACATATGTCCCTACAACTGCAGTGCCAATATATGTAACCAAGTGAATTCAGTTAACTTGGGCAAACTTTCACTGCCCATACAAATGCTTTAGGTAATATTTGTATAAATGAAAGATCTACTAAATGATTTATTTTCATTTTGGGTAATGTTTAAGCTTATCTCTTTTTTTGTCTGTGTAAATGATGTTATACTGCACATTTATGTATGAAAAGAAGTAACTTTTATTTGGGCCAACGCACCATTAAGTCGCCAGTCAAGGGACGGTGGGGGAGTCTTGATCTTGAAATCTTCCGTAGAGAAGGGTGCCCCGCCTATATCATCCCTGTTTGAGGGGCGGCGGCCGCGCATCATGCGAAGCTCGTCATCAAATAGGTCAGCCAGATGGTTGACAGCGAGGCTGAAGCCCAGGCCCTGACGATTGTTGCCATGGATAAGCCTGCCAAAGTTCCAAACATTTTTTTGTTCCCTTGTGATGTCATTCTTGAGTTTCAGAACGTAACACTGGAAAGCCCTTTGATGAATACTTACAATCTGTGTTACAGTATTTCCAATTAGTTCCCTTTCCCCACATGAAGAAGAATAAATAGTCAAATGTTCCATTCTTTGGCAGTCCCTGGCAGATTCTGCCCCCCATCTCTTTGAAATGAGGCATGCATGGAGAGACAATCATTTATAGTAAATTGATGAACTTTTGATTCAATCCCACAAACAGTTTTGTTGTAACAATCTTTTAAACTTCATGGTCTGATACATGTCAGTCCACAGGTGTAAGGCTTATAAATGGAAAAAAAATATGCATTTTTGGCTGACCTGTCTTGAAAAATTAGGCATTTTGTGAGAAAGGTATGTCCCAGTTTCACAAAACTGGTGTCAAAAAAACTGCAAGACATTACTTGGAAAACTTTTGATGGCTTGGTACGGGAAAATTCTAAATATGCCCTATCTAAGGTCCCAACATTTCAAAAGCCAGTTCATTTGCAAGCTTGGTACCATCAACTTCTTTAAGAAGTGGACGCAGAAATACATGAACCAGTAATATCTGCCATCTTCTTGTATCTTGCCATACATCAACAATGGATTAAGATATGACTGCCCAGATTTAATTTACACTTCAGAGGAATAATTCTCACCTGACATTGTGCATGAATTGGACTTTTCTCTTCTCATGTTCCTCGTCAGCGTACACCTTGCCATGTTTGACCTTGTACTCCTTGAACATGTGTTGGTAGCGGTCGCCCAACTCCGGGTTGAACAGTTCCTGGTACGGGTTGACTCGGATGTGATTCTCGATGCCGCTTGGCAAGGTCACATTGCATACTGCATTGGTGTCAATAACAATACTTGCATTTCACTGTTCTGTTAATGTCCACAGGTACTATGTTCACATGGGTCGTACAAGGAAAGGGACACAGACCTTGTGGGGGGGGGCATAACAAAGCACTCAACAATAGCAGACTGACAAACAATCAATAGAAAAGACTGGAGGTCAATGCCCAGGCATCTTCATGGAAATTGACAATCTTCTTCAATGTGCCTTCCTGTTTTTTAATTTCCATACGTTTACTTTGGTTTTCTTCACTTTTTCCTTTTTAATTTGGGGGGAGGGGGCACCATGTTTTTTCCTTGCCTTCAAATCCAACCTAAGCCAACGTATAGATTGGCACTGGTTTTTAACTGATTCTGTGGGTTTTACCTTGAGTATTCTTCTGAGGTTTTCCTCCCGCCTCTAAAATACGGCTGTTTCACAATAGTGCACCACTAAGAATTTGCAACGCGTTGGCCAATCACAATGCGCAAAATTTGTCGACCCAATGCGCATTTGGAAAGGGACGACAAATTTCGCCCGTTATGATTGGCCAACGCGTTGCAAACTCTTGGTGGAGCACTATTGTGAATCGCCCGTATTGAAACTGCCTCTTGTTGTCTCCTCTCTACAGGTTTTTTCAGGTTACAGTCCCTAGGACACTCCTGATGGATCCTTGGGTTCATTGTCAGAAACACTGTTTTTTTTTTGCCTTTGTAACATCAATGACAGTGTACAATTCCACAGCCAAACAACTGAAAGCTTGAGATTTTGGTATGGAGCAGTGTTTCCCAGGACATTAAATTTTTTTTGGTTGATCCCCAAATCGCTGGAAAGATTGCAAGTTTTCAGAGCTTCTGTTTTTCATGGTTTTCATTAAAAGAAAGCACATATAAGTGGGAATGAAAGTGTGATGGAGCTGCTTAGAACCACTTCCCTTGACATTTCTACTCCAGTCCATCGCGCGTTGCTCCCTAGCTAATGCCAGTATCCATTTTATACTACCGTATGGAGAGAGGCAAATGGGAACAAAGTGGCTTGCCAAGGCCACAACCTGTGGCCAGCAGCAGGATTTGAACCCCTGACCTCAGGTCAAAAGTTACAAACTTCAACCACTGGGCCATACTCCCACTGTCTCATGAGTCACAACTCAATCCAAACCTGAACTGAAATTTTACTTTTTTTTCCCGAAACAGGTACCTTTAGGGGGTGTAAACACAGAAGCTTGGAAGGCGGTGGTGTCATCAAACATGGAATAGTCAATGACATATTTGTCGTAGTGCGAGCCCAGTAGAGTGTCATACCCCATCATCTCATAGCGGACCGGTCTGACCTTTGCACCCCGTGACACATACAGCATATATGTGTTGACCTTAGCAGTCTTGGGATTGGTGATCATCATCCAGACATCCGTCATCTGCCCGTTGATAAGCTTCTGACCATTGGGCTGTTGAGAAATCAAATGTTTGAGATTTTAAGGATGGCTTTTCATAGAGAATATGTAAGCAGAATCAGACAATCTATATTTCAAGTGGCAACAAACGTTTTCCAAGTTTCCAGTAATTAACGATGTACACGCGCATACCTCTCATCCCTGATTTCTTTTATAGTCTGTGGAGGTAGGGCCTCGTAGTTTTGCAAATTGTGAATTTGCCAGTGCTGTAGTAGAGTCCTTCACAAGCCCGTCATACGTCATTTGGTCTTGAGTCAATGCATACACCAGCTGTGACAAAAGCATTCCTTTGTTGTTGTTCACCCAGTTACTTGTGACTGGTCTTGAGGAAGGACTTGTGACTGGACTTGTGCAAGGTCTTGTAATGGACTCAACTCCAGCACCGGAATTTACAGTGATTAATAAACCTCCTACACATAGTGTACAGATTGCTCTTGAAAGTCAGTATTGGCGGCATTTCAAATGCTTGCTGATAATACTAACACTGGACAAAAACCAGATTTCCAAAAAAAGGCAGAAGATATATAGGCAAATTTTTTAAATAAAGCCCATCTCCAAAATTTTGGGCCAAAAGAAAAATTGTCCACTCCACATTTAATGTGTGACATCAGCGGCCAAATTTGATTGGTGATCATTAATTCAGTTTTGGTCAAGTTTGCCCAGTACCCAGAATATATTCTTTGTGTAGCTTACCAAAAGAAATCAACCAGAGACAAATGGTCTATGGGTGGGAATCTACGTTTAATTTGATCAACATTTAGAACAACATTCCCTTACAACTTAAATGTTTCAACATCTAGCTTTGATGTAATAGCTAGGCTACTGTTGCCTACCTCAGTGTTTATGATATTCATACATAGTTCACCAACAATGCATACATGTATGATTGGCCCAAAGTATAGATGCAGATCAATGTGAGGGAACATTAAAAGTAACCAATTTTTCTTGGTTTAAATTCAATTTCTCCCCACCCCCCAAGAACCTGTACAATTAGGAGGAATACATTTATTTGGACTGTTTACAAATGAATGCCAGATCACATCAATCAAATCAAACCTGGAAATAGATGGGATCCATTGAAAGATTTTGGAAAATCTGTAATAAGTTTACTGAACTTTTTTTCATTTAAACTTTTACATGTGTGAACATCACACGCTTATAATGGTCAATGATTGGGCTTGGGAAATAATGTAAACTGCTATCAGCACGGGAGAGAGGGAGTCACCCACCTTGAAGCCATTGAGGTTAGGCAGCATGCTCTGTGGCATGATCAAGCTCCCCTTTTTCCCTGTCATTGTCAGGCATGTTGTCTCTGGTGTGGTGCTGGTCTTACTTTTTACCGTCGGGTAGACCTCATAAGCAACGCCGTAGGGCTTCTTGGCACCATCGTAGAATGCCTGGTCCATGCCTACGTCATGAATATACATCAAGATACGGGTAAAGTTTTTTTGACGGGGTGGCATAGACGGCTAGTGCATAAGGCAATTACGTATGTGACCCACTCTGTGAAAGTGAGTCTTAAATCGCCAGAGCCACTTTTGGAGTTTTCATTTGTACTGGAAAGAGCAAATTGTTTTTTTGGTTTTGATGTATCACTCGATTTGGCATCCTGATCAAAGTGGATACTCCATGGTGAAAAATGCTTTGGGTTCCCATTGATTTACACTGTGCAAAATTATTCTACAGGACTTGTTACTCCAAAGTGGCTCTGGCGACTTGTGACTCGTTTTCACAGAGTGGGTCACAATATACCTCTCTATACTGTAGTCTGGGGTTCAATTCCTGACCTTGTGAGTAGAATTGTCTATTGATTTTTTTCCTGTGCCACAATGGATTTTCTCAGGATATCCAGTTTTCTTTCCGTCAGTAAAACTTGACACTTTCAATCTCCAGCCGTGCTCTACAGTGAGATATGAGTGATTTGGCAGCCCTTTTCAGCCAGCCCAGGCTGTAGCTGCCTACTGGGTCATTTGGAAAGTTTTGGAAAATAACTAAGTCTGTTGGAAGGCAGAGTTCTATGACAGAAACTTGGAGGTCACGGCATTGGTTTGTTGAGTCCTACCAGACAAATATAAAGATGCAGTGACCACAGCACTGAAAAATGGCCAGTAACCAAATGCCTTCAGTGATGTGGTTTGAATAATTTGTACACTGTTACAATTTTCTAAACTGTAAACAGGTACATGCAACATACGTGCACTAATGGCATGACCGATGAGCGAAAGAGTGATTTCAAGCAGAATGGAAACTTCCCTCTTGTTTCTTTGATGCTAACTTTATTAGTCAGTCTTCCAAAAATCAAGCTACATTTAACAGGAGAAGTGGTATTTACCTCCGTAAAAATCTATCCTGCCCATACTCTTCTGTCCATCAAAGTAGATTTCAAAGGGCTCATTGAGCTCAGCATAAGGCAGTTGCACAAAGCCCTTGGCATGGTACCGGCTGCCAAAGGTAGGTGGTTTGGGAGCAGCTGCATCATTGCTGTCAAACACTGGATGAAATAACACAAGGTAAACATTAACACCAGAGAATCTGCCACCACGATTTTCTGGTTTTATAAACACCAAAAAGTTTTAACATATACTTAAAAACAATTTATCTGTGGACTTTTCTTTTCCCAAGCCTAGTTATGCTTTCAGGCTCAATGAAAACATGGAGTGAAGAGACATTTGTTAAGCTTGGTGGCATGTAACCAGATGCATCTGGTGTTAAAAGTCTCCTCTTCTGATTATAAATAGTTGATTAAAAATTGCGGTATATGTCCGTAGTCAAAAGAGGAGACAATTACCCCATAAACTGTCAAGCTAGGTAGCGATATGGTGGCTGGATACAGAAGTCATGATACAGATACACGTAGCCAACAGCCACTTCACTAAACCCATATCAGGCAACATGTCCAGTTGCCTGATATTAGTTACTTACAGATCTACCATTATTACTGTCTGGTTCCGAGACCCAAAAGATCCCAACTGTGCTTATCGCCCATTCACAGATCGGGAGCTAATCCATGTAGTAAATGAAAGGCAGCATTGCGAAGACAAAAGAGGGTCAATTAATGAATTGCTTCAGTGAATGGCGCAAAAAGAAAGATAGAAGGCTCATAGGAATTTTTTTTGCAAAGTACGGGCCTATCAATTTTTTTGTTTCTTGTTTGGGTGTAGTGCCAAGGATAAGGTGGTCATTCAGCACATTTTCGGGAATCCAAAATTAAAAACGTAAGTCACCCTTCTGTTACAAGAACAGGGTCTCCGAATTCACAATCCATTTACTTTCATTAATACTTACAAACTGCAGCAGCCAAGAACACAAAGAGGATTTGATACAACATTTTGACGAGAAGACTAACGCAGAGTTCTAGTTCAGCACGAGCCAGGTCACGCGAAGCTACCGAAGGGGGAGGACACTGATCTCTACACACAGGTACGGTCTGGTACCTAGAAATGCAATGTTACTTATCATAGAAAGTATTGTAAACGTTTGGATCCCGGCTTCCACTTTTATCAGATGACCCGTCACATGACAAGAACCTTGGTCAGCACTGATCACGTGCTTTTATGGGGTCCGAGTCAATGTGGTGGTCTAATCCGTTCCTTACTGAGCTAGATCATTTGAACTGTGTAACTTTATAAAACAGTGTCTTAGTTAGGGCAGATCCAGGACAAAATTATCGGGAGGAAAAGAAGCAAAAAGCTGGGGGGCATATATTTCAATCTTTTATAGCCCTTCCGGGCATGGGGGTGAGGCCAAATAGTGCGGGTAACCTTTTCGCACTTTTGGAAGGCTCCTCCCGACACCGTGACCACTAGACTTACTAAATTCGCACCCAAAACGTTTGGTAAAAGACTTCCGCTACCATAAATTCAGACCCAAGACAGCAAAAGTTTGACATTATCATAAATTTGGACATTGTTAAATCCAGCACTTGCCCCATTGTAAAGGGCTCCGTAGATTTTGTTTCATTTAATTTATTATTTCCGTCGCACACACTACACAAAGACAAACGTACAAAACCATGCCAAAAACATTAAATAAAGACAATCAATAAACAGAACTGCGCACTAGACCTGCAGGATCACTATCAAGTAGGTCTCCAAACAAGTAAAACATGGAAACAGTACCAGTAATCGGCCTTGGAAGGACACTTAATGGGTTTGGTCACAGTTAAACCATAGCGCTACAACCCAGCTCTATGGTTAAACAATAGAAGACAGACTACCACCAGGTTTTCCCTTCTCTAATTTCTGGGAGGCAGTCCACTCACCAGTCAAATGCAGAGGAAACGAGAAAAAACTGAGGTATCCAGTGGAAGTGGTGTACATTTTGCGAAGGGGGGTGTGGGGCCTTCATTGGAGGGACACTCAATGGGTTCAGTCACTGTTAAACAATAGAAAACAGACTACCACCAGGTCTTCCCTCTAATTTCTGGGAGGGGGCATGGTGGGTGGGTGGGACCGGGTAGGTGGGGGCACGGGCCTCCAACGCCAGGAGCTTGACACTGAGGGTTCCCATAGCCTGAGGGTCGGGGTTGCGAGTGCTCTCCTCTGGAGTTACTTGTGAAATAGACCTTCATATCAACTCAGTGAACCGACATAAAAAACACGTGTCAACAAAGAGCGAGGTCTATTAAATACTTAAAAATTGAACCCCTTCTCAGAAATTAAGTAAATAAGACCTTCCAATCACTCCCCAGTTAACTGTAGCAAGCGTTTGTGTCAGGTGCATGCATGAAGTCCATTCGTATGACTTGTTTCCGTTACCTGGCAAACTTTAGGGTATGATACGACCATGGAGAAATGTGTTTTATTTCTCCATGATACGACTAACGACTAGGCCTAGTATGTAGACCCAATGTCCGAGCTTGCCAACTTGAAGATTTACGTTTTTGATTTATCGCATGTGGAAATCTGCAGCCAATTAATCGACTACATGCGCAGTATCCGTGCACGTGACCCAACCGTAATAAAGAGGTCAAACGGGACTGCTGCTACTTTCCAGCTCAGTGTATCCCTATCATCATCTGTCCGTCCCAAATTATCATTAGTCTCTATATCTTCTGATATACATCTCTGTATAAAAAGGACATCTCTATTTCAGGATGTGTTTAATTAAATTTTGTATGTCACTGTCCGTACATCCATCTCCAATGAACTTGAAATAGTTCATATCGACCCCCCGCGCGTTATTGCGAAACTTTTCGGACCCGTGTCAGGATTGTTTCATCATGGAAAGTATCCTCCCCTCCAGAAAATAGCTGGTTTTCCCCCGAAATTACAGCAATTATACTCTACCCTAGAAGGGAAAAGGGTGACTTTGTACGCTCATGTTTGTAATCCATTCATTGTTTTCGGCCACAAAAATGTATCAAAGTGTTATCCCCCACGACGAGGATCATCACGGCCATGTCCCAAACCGCGATGACGTTTTTTGCCCGCGGGATCACGTGTTATTTATAGTTCGCCAAAATGTCGCTGGTATTTCGTCGACTACATATGCTAATCGCACAAACAGATGGTTACCAATGAAATGGAATTCTTTTTCGCTGTGTACTTGCATGCGGTTTACGCTTAAGTATGTACATGTACATGGTGTTTGTGGATGCAAATTCGGTACGTGTGACCACGTGAAAAAAAGAAATTTCTAAAACTTTGAGAGTTGATCAACTTGTGGGAAACTTGCATGTTATGAAAAGGAAGTAAAACCGTCCTCTTTAAGGAACGACTCGTTCAGGATGGGAGCTTATCTTTCTGAGCCGAAGACAGAGTGCGTTTCTGATGATGGGGGAACAGAAAAACTCCGATTTGGTTCGTCGGCGATGCAAGGATGGCGACTCGGAATGGAGGTACGGTAGCCTACATGAAAAAAATTCATTTTGTACTAACTTGCCGTTTATGAGAGATGACCCATTTTCATTGAAGTATTTACTATCATATTAGCATTTATGTTTTCAGGAGAGGTTAACACGATGAGTAAGGTCAATTTAACATTGACTTGTGTCCGTTTGTTTGTGGCTCAGTCTACATAATGTTGTATTTTTAAGTTGTGTAACAACACGGTTGTTAAGTCATGTTTTAAGAAAATGTGACTTTGCCATTGTTTGTCCCATTGAGAATTCGAATGAGGCTTAAATGCTCAAGACTACAACAGTTACATTTTAAGGATATACAGGCCTTATACTCAACGTTGCCGTGCAGTGATACTAGCTTTAAGGACACCTGTCTTGCCTGTACTTGCGTTTATTCATTAAATTTTCAAATTTACTGCTTGTCTATCAGTTCAAAATTACCTAAGTTGGGATCTCAGCAGTCTTCCTTGTTTAGGCCACGTGTGTCAGTGTTTTAATAATTTTTTCAAGGAAGTAGAGAGAAAAGGTGAAATTCTTGCCAGTTTGGCTGTGAACTTTTCTAACTAACTGTAAAAAAAAACAGCAAAGGTTGACAAGTATTGAAGTTATAAGTGTCGATGACTATTCAATAGTATTCATTGATTAAAAATATGGTGTGAATCACATAAATAGCCGTTAGCCATTCCAAGCAAAAGTCTTGTTATACACCCAAGCGGTTGTGGCAGAAAAAATATGCCATAAAATGAAGCTCAGAAAGAGTTCCATACACACAGAGACCTTTGTATAAATCTTATAAAACTGGTTTGAAAAATTGTACATGTACATGTAAGTGTTTCTAATTAAATGCTTCCGTATTTTCCCTGCTAAATTTGACTTTTAAGGACATGTTATTGCTTTTAATGACTGGTACACCAGGAGAAAATTAGTGATGTCCAAATAATAACTCTTTCTTGAAGCTCTGACATGCAATGCAGTGAGAAGAAAGGGCAATAAAAATGCTGTATTGAATATCAGTATTCACACAGAAGAGAGGCATTGTGGTCTTTTATTGCATCATGCTCTGTGCTTGGGGATAATGAATGTTAAGTAGGATCAGTTTATCTGTGTGATCACTGGATCTTCACATGATCTGTTGATCTGTGTGATCACTGGATCTTCGCATGATCAGTTTATCTGTTGATCTGTGTGATCACTGGATCTTCACATGATCTGTTGATCTGTGTGATCACTGGATTTTCACATGATCTGTTGATGTGTGTGATCACTGGATCTTCACATGATCTGTGTGATCGCTAGATCTTTGCATGATCTTTTGATCTGTGTGATCGCTAGATCTTTGCATGATCTGTTGATCTTATTACATGATTTGCTGGTGATTCTTCCATCGGCCTATCGCCTTGTCTTTCTAATTGGCGGTTGTAGAAGATTGTTTTGAAAAGGAGGAAGTAAAGTCAGAGGTTTCATTCGTGATCATGTGATCAAAACTGGAATTTTCCCACTCATCGTCTAAATCCTAAAAGAAAAGTGATCTTCATTTTTGTTCCTTTGTTTTCATAAATAATCAGGGTTCTTTGTTGTTTTTTGTGTTCTTCTCTGCAGGACGGTCACAACTGTATTCCTCACCTCGATGATGAGACGGCCATGTTTGCTGTCTATGACGGTCACGGAGGTATGTGAATTGCAACCCTGATTCCTGCTAGAGATTGAGAAAGTTACACCCCAACTGTTGCGTCGCTCCCAACTGAACCATATTTGGGACCCGACGACAGTGATATAGTTTGGCCGAGCCAACTATGGTACATGTAACAGTGTGTGCCATAGTGTGTGATGTTTCCCATGCTATACATTGCCATGGGATTTAGATAATTTTCCTCAAGCCGTGAGTACAATACCCACTTCCTTGCTTAGAGGAGTAGAGAACAGCACTCTTTTGCCCTTAGTATTGTTTAGTCGTGTACTCTTCTTCCTGAGAGGGAGAGTACTTTACTCCCTAAGAGGAGGAGGAACTGAGTACCTATATTATGAGAGTTAGTCCTTGTGCCTTAGTAAATATAATGATATGTGTACTTGTTATTTCTCTTGAAAAACACTGTTACAAAAACAGGGCTTAGTGATAACCATGAACTCATGACACCGTAGACAAAAATCACACAAGTCCGTATCTGCCCATGTACGGCAGCATGTGTGAGGCTACCACACTTAGGTGCGTACGTGCCTGGCAGTGGATATTCAGAAAATCATGGTGCACTTCATCATTCGGCGGTCAAATGCACTCACATTCACGATCTAAACCTCAATCTTTCTTAAGTGTTTCAGACTCAGATTTTCCATAAGAGATATCTGGTTTCTAGCAGATGTACCAGAAAGCCTCTAAAACGCCTCTTGAATAAATAACTGTGTTTAGCAGATCAAAACTTGCTGAAAACTTCACGTTTTTTGCAGAACATTCGAAAGGAGTTCAGGCAACTCAAACCCTGCCCATTCGAGCAAAAATCGATGAAAATAGTGTGGTCCCCACAGGCTCAAAATAAGTTTACTGCATCGTGTCTTTGGGGAGTCTGTTGACCATGTTTTTGTACACAAAAACGACACAATGAGCAAGCAGCAGCCCATTTTGGTCTACAACACATTCAGGATTTTCTGATTAATGCATGGAGCGGCGGGAAAACAAGTCGCTTTCAGTAGCGTCTGCTACTAATGTTACTCTGTTGGGCAGGGCGTAATTGACGAAATATGAAAAATACAGAAACTTATGGTACTCTTTCAATAGTAGAAATCACTGCGTATTTTCCTGCTGCATGAGGGTTTATGCTGCTTATTTTGACCAAGTTTCCAAGTCTGGAAGCGTTTATACGCCAATATGCGCGTTATCTAAACCCCTGCTTTGCAACAACATGGGCGCGGCATGAAGAATCTAGGTTTCATCTTTTGCCCAAGATGAAACAGCAAATCAGCATATTTCTGATGAATCCTCCTTGTGGGCCACAAAAACTGGAGAAGGTGTAGAATTTTTTTTTTGAACGTGGAATACTTTGGCCCCACTGCAGTGCCGTGGTCAGAACCAGTGGTATAATTGGAGAATAACAAAAGATAAAGTTTGAAGTAGGACCAACAACTTGAGTTCAGCAAAATATGCTCAACAAAGTAAGATCCATTTAACTGATTCTTTTAATTAACAACATTCTCAAGTTCCTACAAATAGGCTGTGAGGCCTTGACTGTAGACACGAGGAAAGAACAAATTTCCAGTGCGTTCAATACTCTAGCAACTGAAGGAACTGATGTATGTTGAACAAGACAAGACCTCTTGGCATCACAAACTTGACACAGATAGCTTGTTGGATCGCTCCCACCTCATATCCCATATCCATAGGAAAGCCAACACGTACACAAAGCTTAACGTCATTATGCAAAAGGTCTATTAAATACATGATAGAGAGTTTGTACATCAATATATTGATTGTTTTCACTTCATTGATGTCACTGATTGCCTCAGGGGCAGAGGTAGCCATCTACTGCTCCAAGTACCTCCCTGACTGCATCGTGGACCAGGAGGCCTATAAGAACGGCGATCTAGCCAAGGCCCTGGAGGACGCGTTCATGAAGATTGATGTTGTCCTCAAGGAGCCAGCAGTGGTAGAGGAATTACGACACCTGGCCGGGATGGAACACAACAATGATGAAGGTACGACACCCAGTGTGACTTCAACCTTACAAAACGAATTCCTGGAAGGAGCCACATTTTGAGTGGAGGGCGTTTAAAAGACCATCACACTATGTAAATCAACTGCTCAACAGAAATCCACATCATTTAAATAGGGATCAATCGATGAACTGCCAATCCAATGTCAAATGTTTTAATCGGAACATCAGCCGATGTCTGATCTGATCTGATATTTGTACCAAAAATACCTGAAAATGCAACTTTAACAGGATGTAGGGGATAGGTGTAGGCCTGCTCAAAACAACACAAACCAGTGTACTCCCTTAAAATTTAAAATGTCAGTTTACACATCACCGGTACTAGGATTAGATTTTTGCCCTTACTGTCACTGTGATGAGAGAATTGTGTGCATCACATTGCTGCTCGCACGATACCAATAGTGCTCGGTTGTATTCAAACCCAATGCATGTGGTGCATACATACAGAATAGACACACAGCACCTCAGGCTGAATCATGGATAGCCTTTAGTCAAGGGGCGCATGGCACCGGTGCACGATGCTTGGCTCCTGGCTTTGCCACTCATGTTGGTGTCTTCATCGTGCCAATGGCAGAGGTGCGTGTGGTGTGTCCATGTACGCCTCGAGCAAAGGCTAAATCGTGGACTAACTTCAGAGCCACACAGCACCTTGTGGTGCCACATGCGGTCTAGTTCCCTGACTCTTTTCGTGGCAGTCTGTGGAAATGGTAAACATGTACACTGACTGCTCCTTGGGTCCGTGGTCTGTGCATTGAGTTTTTGCAGCACAGACTGGGCAGTTGTAATTTGCAGGGATACTTTACATGGGTTCAACCGTGGTATATCAGGATCTCAAACTTAGTGATACACCAAAACAGCGAGCTTAGCTTGTTTTTTCTAATACATAATGGCAAACTATGCATGAGAAAATGCTTATCATATTCAATATTGACATTTGGGCGGATCCTTTGAAAATGAAGTAAGCCCATATGGCTTAGCATTAAATGTATGTTTGTTAGCAGTGAACAAAAGACCTCTTGTTCTAGCTGTTGGATTCTGTTGGGTTCAGCAGGCTTCACACATTATTTGTTGTTGAATTCTGTTTTGTAATATTTCAACTGAATTAATTCAAACTTTTAAACTCGTTTTCCATTAAACAGCGGATTCAGAAGAAGCTAATGCCTTACAAGAAGAAGCCAACCTACCTCTGGGAGAGCTCTTGGCACGGTACAGTTACCACCCATCAAAGACGCGGACCCTCCGCAAAAAGCTGGACAAAAACGACCTCCTCTCCCCGATGGTCCGCAAGAAGCCGCCAACGTTTGGCGAAGGGGAGGCAGACGTTGCCGTGGCCAACGGACAGGAAAATGATGGCAGGGTGGAGAGCGACAAAGGCTCCATCCCCCTGAGACTGGAAGTGGAGGAGGGCACGGCGGAGTCAGGGTCAGAGGTCGAAGGGGACGGTAACGGTGCTAATGCGGAGGGCGGCGTTGGGGATGATCAGGTCCGAGAAGGAGAGGGTGAGGAGAGTGGACAGGACTCACTGGACACCAAATGTAATGGTGCTGATGCAGCAGAGTCTGAGAAAGTTAATGGAAGATTTGGTAGGTCTACACCGAACGTGCCGCATGGATTTGTTTGAGAATTTTACAGGAAAATGTTAGGTCCCTTTTTTTTTTTTATATTTCCATTCCTGATAAAACAAGATTCGTGTAACAAGGTAGCTTTTCCCAAGGACCTTATTTTGAAGGGGTTTTAATCAGGTGGTGTATGGTTTATTTACAAGCTCCTGCCTACTCTGACGTTTAAACCTTTGATATCTGTCTGTATTGCCGACAGCCACTAGCCGTGGATTTTCCAACATCTGGAAAATGGGCGGAATCAACAGACTTTCCATGATAAGATGAAATTCTGTTTTGGGAAGCAAATTCCATGTTGAGTTCACGTACTAAGGACAGACAAAATGAAACAGAAAGTTGACACAAGAAACCAGGAAGATCATTGTCTGTGTCCTTTGAAATACTTGAGACCCGGCCATCAGAAAATGACAGGTGCCAAATTTGGCTGCCAAGTAAAGTGAGATAACTAATCATATGCAGTTAAAGTTGTGTGCTGTTCCTGTATGTGGTAAATGGATACCGTCACTGGAATACTGGACATATGCTTTTGTGGAAATCTACATGCGTGTACGTGTGCTTGCCCCTGGTGAATTTATTCCTAACCTCGATGAAGGGCAAGTTGATTTTTTGGACTTATATTTAGGGACTCACCTCCTTGACTAGAATGTTTCAAGAAAAAGACAGATGTAAACCCTAACCGCCAAGCATATTTTTTGGCTTACAGTACTCAGTACTACAAAATACTAAGTAATAGCCTTAGCCTGAAGGACCTAGTGCTACAAATTACTACTTCTGGCTAGATTACTTCCATTGTTACTCGCACAGAGAACAATAAAGCCATGCGTAGCACCACAGCACTGTATATTACAGTACATTGTCCTATCCATTGTATCTTATGGCTTCAGAGAATAATACGGTCTTGTCCTCTTATAAGCGGCAGCACTGATTACTACATTTTACTACAAGTAGTAATTAGTTGTATTTTTAGGGTTTGGGTTAATAAGAGTAATTCTGGGAATTCTGGAGAATGTTCCATCTTTGGAGTGTCAGTCACCAGAAAAGAAGATTACACAGCACAGGATTGGTTTATTTTGTCGGAAATAAACTAATAATAAATGTACAATGTAAGCACTCGTGTGTCTCGACCCAACCCCCTTGTCAGACTTTTTCCAGCATGGTCTGCAATGCTTCTGTTTGCTGTGCGCATTGTGGTATTGTTTTGCCACCCCGGCCTCGTCAGTGCCCAGGGGAGCCCTGTTTGGAGTCCGCATTGATGTTGCAAAAAATGCTCCTATCCCGTGAGAGTTGTGGCTTTCAATTTGTTGCAAAATTCACACCGACATCCATCATTTGAATCATTAGTGTGCAAGCCCCTGCAGACAGATGGCCGAACAATGTGCCTGTGTTGAATTTCAACATGGTAATGCAAGGTTGTATCCTTCATGGCTGTAGAAATCATTACTGATTTATTTTATGTTATCACTTGCAAAGTGATGAGGGAAACTGTTTGTGGAAACAAAATGATAATTTTATGAGGCAATTTTACGCATTTACATATACAGATGGCGTTATTTTTGCCTCCGTTTCCACATTTCAATCGCAGAGCCGTTAACCATACCATTTCAGAATCTTTCATCATTAACCGCAGCCCAAATTCTTTAAAATCCGTCAGGTTATGGAGGATGTGGGAAGAATTTTTGGCTGTACTGCAAAAATTTGTTGCTCATTTTTAAAAAACACTGTATTTAATTCTCGGGCTAGACCTTGTGTTGTTTACACTCACCTAAGGGTGAATTTAGACTCAGGTATGTGAAATTACCCACCTTGCTCCTGGTTTGTTTTTATTCATACTGACCAGATGCATTGACAGAAATTGCCAGAGGATTTAGAAGGATTTAGGCAATGGTTATGCCTCCTTGGAACATATTTGAGCAGTAATGGGAGATTTTAGAAGTGTATAGCTGCATTCTTTTTTTTAATATGAGGGCAGGTAGAAAATTTTGCAGGATTAAGGATGAGCAAACAGATCCATAGATTTTAGTGCTACGTGATAGTGTGAAACAAACATTGAGGCCAGAGATGCACAGCTCTTACGGCCCATTTTATTCTCAAATTAGTGTACGTGAACAAGTACCCGACAGTTTTGTTTTGCAGATGTATAACTGCAGTTATCACTATAGTCACTATGTTAATACACTTTGCCTACTCCTTGCCCGTCAGAAGGCGGAGTTGAAAATGAGGGGGAGGATGAAGAGAGCAAAGATGAAGAGGGGCAAGACGAGGAGCAAGACGAGGACGAGGACGACGACAGCAATTCAGAAGAGGACTATGAAGGGGTTGAAGACCAGGACGAGGAGGAGGATGAAGACGAGGAAGAAGAGGAGGAAGACGAACAGCAAGATGTCTTTGGACAAAAGGAAGAGGTGAGGAAATCATCCTGCAAACTCTGCACATGAGCAAAAAGATGACGAACAGCGAGTGCTACATACCAGTGACACCCTTTTGTTGGTGACATAACATGTACCATAGGCACAGGTTTGTGTGCACTGGTTGCAGGTCAGACACGGCACATGCAACCAATTTGAGTTGGAATGCCCAGTCTTTGTGTATTTGGGAGGCGCCCAGTTGAAACAGCCACTGTCACTTTTGCACAGACCCAGGGGGATCACTTCTAGTGGAGCAGACAGGCAATCAGGTGAAAATTGAGCCTGTATGAAGTACGTTGCCATATATGAAATAATTCTTTTGTTTAGTTGTCGACCCATTGTGAATCAGATTCCCACATTGCACGTCATTGTTTGCCTTTGTAAACTCTTGCCTTCAGGAAATACCTTTTTTGTGGACCTTCAGTGTCCACAATGTTGTGCTTAAGGTAGGCTACCATCACAGTGTAGTCCAAGAAAGGACTAGATAGCAATGGGAGGCTTTCTGTCTACTGTTTGCATGATATCAAGCAACAATACCAGACTGGTCGCGTTGGACTGGTATGTTAAATGCCTCAGAGCATCTTAAAAGTCTCCCATTACAATCCTTTAACCCTCCTATGCTGAAGTCACTCTTTGGGTCATTTGGTAAACACCTCAAAGAAGCACAGCTGTGTCGTGTTGTGCACTGCACCAACAGTCCCTCACAGGAATATCAGATTGCACTTTTGTGCTGCCCAACAACTGTGCTTCATTGTTTCATGTGTATAACTGTGCAGTAAACCAAATGCAGTGAAGAGGACTGTACAAAAGACCCTGGGTCATTTTGTGCTGACAACCTACTGTATACACCCTGAACCTGTGCGTGTTTGAGTTCCATATAGAAACTACATGCTCACCAGTGACTATGGGCATTTGTGCACATTTGTGCTGTAAAACCAAAGGAGGGTTGATATAGGCCCTTGTACTATGCATGCACTATCCTTTAGACACGATACACTCTAAACTGGACACATTCAATATTTTGGTAACGTTGCTTGACGCTGTGACCTGGATGACTTTATCACAGATCACTCAACCACCATATTAAATTCTTTAACAAAGCCAGATCTGTTAACAATCTTAACATTGTAAGGATACTATAGGTCCCAATCGTAACAGAATTGTACTGTATGTAATTGACAGTGAATGAACACGTTGGTCTGTTGGTTGCCAGATACAAAAACCCAAGGGGAAAAAAAGGAAACTTATGCCTGACCTAAGCGAACCAACTGCAGTCAGGCTAGCAAACAACAAGGTTGAACAGATCCTAAAAATCAATGCAAGTTTGGATGGAGGTCACAGTGGCGTGCAAGCGTGAAGGCCTTAACCGTGCCAGACCCAATCTTTATACACCCTCTCTTGACCACTTGACCGTTACTCTTACATAACAAGGATAAATTCAATTCATTCTAATTCACCACGGTGCTCAACCGAATGAGTAGACATTTTATGTTTAATACCTGAAGTTCACTGTAAAACAAAAATTCCGGGATTACATGTATGCATAAGGTGAGCAAACAAAATAAACAGGCAGTTACTTGGGCTTTACCGCGAGGTTTACCTCAAGGTTTTGTTTAGCATGTTAATTGGGGGTATCTCAGAGTAAAACCTCAAGTTACCCTTGTTTAATTTTGTATTCTTTAACGGATGACTTTCAATATTCATCACCACCAGGAATATAGGCATTTAAGACCATATGAAGTTTTTTGGTTGTCATAATTAGCCCGGGAGTGACAGTGGCTGCACCGCTGTCGTGGCCTTAATGCGAGACAACCAAATCGTCGTAGCCAATGCAGGGGACTCACGCTGCGTGTTATCCAAAGCTGGAGAAGCCGTAGATCTTTCCATCGACCACAAGCCTGAGGATAAAATTGAGATCACAAGAATAGAGAAAGCAGGTGGGAAAGTGACACCCGACGGGAGAGTCAATGGTGGCCTTAATCTCTCCAGGGCTCTCGGTAAGACAACAATAAGACAAAAGATTTTATTTGATAAAAACCTGCTACACTTTTTTTCCTTGCGAGATAGGTGCATACTATAACTAGCCTCTTTGACTGTTATTATACAAAAACCATGACAAAAAACTAATAGTGTGGTATTAAGAATATAGAGCATGGATGAAGGGGACCCACAAGTAGTCAAGCTTGTCGAGTAGGGGTGCAGCCTGACATCCATGTCTGGCTGATTCTAACAGTGCCTCTTTAAACATTGTTATAACCAAGGTGGAATTTATTAAACAGCTTTGGAAAGCCTAAAGGCCAGGCAGATTGTCAAAGGAGGCTGACCACGGGCATGTTTGGTTAGCGACACATTGCCAAGCAATGATCGATTTTGACTGGTAACCTCTGCATGAAATATATAACAGGCACCAGCTAAAATTGACCAGTGGTTAGCAAATTGTCGCTGATTGAACTTGTCCCATTCTGAATGTGTCTATGCTGCCTACGTTGTAGCCACTCCTCAGGAACGTGTGTATATCGTATCTTCTTCACTTATTCTCATTACAACAGCCTTTTTTTCATTCTATTGATTTAATCTAATCAAAATTATAGAACAACTGTTGGATTATCAGCTTCATCTTTACAGCGCTGCGAATTAAAAGAACATCTGTGTGCAGTTTTTGATACGAAACCTGCCTGATTCCATAGATGGCTATGTAGTGCTGAATTCAGCAACAGACCCAGGTGTTTGTCAATGCTGGACAAAGTTCAGCCTCTCATGCGCTCACTTCACCTTCTGATGCACCTGGCATCCATCTTTCAAACCAGTACTGTTGTTCCCTAACCAGGTGATCACTGCTACAAGTGCAACACGAATCTCCCACCAGAGGAGCAGATGATCTCGGCATTTCCAGACATACAGACTGCAGAACTAACAAAGGAGAATGACTTCATGGTCATTGCTTGCGATGGCATATGGTAGGGAGATTCTTTTTCTGAAGCTTCACATTTCACAGAGGGTGGAAGTAGGTGTTCGTTTTATGTTGGACTGGAAGAACTGGGGGCATTATGCACCATGCTTGAGTCAGATGCATGGTTGGGAATAAAGTCAAGATTGCGTGGATGTCATGGTTCGCTGGAAGTGCCGTTGGCTCTGGGAAAAAGCTATTGATGATGATGTGTGGGCTACTGACAGAGCCTTTTTTGGTGTGTCCTTCACCAAATTATTTATGTGAGCACTTCGAAATTTATTTATTTGTCGGCAGAAACTCAACAGTTCCTTAAACACTTATAACAGGGTAGCAATTTGAGATCAGATTCACAGAATTGTATGTTGAGACCTAAATCCACATTTCGTGGTCACAAGTGCCGATGCCTTACCACCTGAGTACTGAGCTTTTCCGGCATTTATTCACTGGGTGAAATCCATTTTTGGATCACCCCATTGGGGGGAACGCTGACATCAAGTTCAGCGTGCTGAGTTTTCAATACCAGTGTTCTATCTTTTTATCCAGGAATGTTATGACGAGCCAAGAGGTCATAAACTTTGTCAGAGAGAGAATAGCCAAGCAGAGCAGTGAGGGAAAACCAAAACTATCCGATATCTGTCAAGAGGTAAGGGCTAACGTCAAATACATTGTGCCTGATTGTGCACACGATTGACAAGTTGCACAAGTAAACGTTCCCCTTCTTGTATTGCTGGCTGGGGAAAGAACAGAACGTCATCTTCTAAGACCCTTTTTTGAGTTGAAGCAATTCAAAACACCACTGAACTACTTAGATCAACAGAAACAAACACCACATTTTGGGAAGCAGATCAATGTCCACAGCCTCTGTTACATAGCAAAGCGTGGCTCTGTTTGTTTAGAGTCCAACCACACTTTTTGCAACCACATCTTGCAACTCCCCATCTCATCACTCCTCGGGATTCTGTGATCGTTGAACAATTTCCTTGTATCAGTATCATTTGATGGATGCCCTCGAAAGGCTGTGTCCAGAAAAGTGTCGCATGGCTGCTGGCTGCTGACGCCAACCTTGAGCCAGCTGTGGGCACTCTCCGCGATGAACGTTTGAGGTGCATTGTATTGTGAATCACAGTTGTTACGTGAATTGCCTTCATGTTGCTCAGAAGGCCCAATATGGGGGGTGTTGCTCAGAGCTTTCCAGTTTTGCGGTCTGTTGTGTTTGACTTCACCTCGGCATTTCCATTTCCACAGCTCTTCCATTTCTGTCTGGCGCCTGACACAAGTGGAGACGGCACTGGCTGCGACAACATGACCTGCATCATTGTCCAGTTTGACCATGATGCACCAGACCAACCTGTCTCCGTTGGCTCCAAGCGAAAGGCCAGTGAGGGCGCTACAACAGAGGAGAATGACAGCAAGAGACACAAGGTCTGATTTGGGCAGTGTCGTGCCACACGCAGAGCAGCCATCTTGGGCTTGTATCCCCATAGCACGGTCCTCAGTCCTTATGAGGCATACAAAAAAGTCTCACAGATGCCAGACTATTTTGACTGCATTTTTTTTCAAATTTGTCATACTTGTACTTTGGGGAAAGAATCCAAGATGGCCGCTAGATTTGTAAGAGGAATTTAAGGCTGGGTCCATAACCAGGGAGAGTTCGTGTTCACTATCGATATTATTCAGACTTCTTTCCATTGACAGGCACCCACATTGTTTCTCAGGGGTTATGTACATAAGAGGAAAAAAAGCTGCATTTCTCATTGGAAATCCAAGATTTCAACTCTTGAATAATATTTTGTAAGATAAAGCATTCCATTTTGTTTTTTAAACTGAATCAACTCTTCTACACTGGTGTAGTTTAAGGACATTTCAACAGTTTGGCTCTGAATAGAATGGGTCAACAATGTGTTGGACTTCACGGAGGTCGTTTTCTCATAATTGAAGTAAATGAAGGAAAGCAATGAATGGATCATCAAAGAATTTCGCCATGTTTGAGAGATGTGCTCGGTATTCCAATGACTGACGGTGTTGCAGTCGAAATCTCTTAAGACCATCTCAAGACCCTGCAAGACCATCACAAGACCCTGCAAGACCCTCAGTCTGAATTCACGTCATGTGCTATTCAACCGGATCGCAACCAAAGCATTCCTCATTCATCGTCCGAACTTGACCAGCGACTGGGTGTTGTGCCTGGTCTTGTGTCTGGTCTTGCGAAGGTCTCAGCTACAGCCTTGGGGATGGATGACGTCATTCAAAAATCCAGACCCAATGTTACGATGCTGCTAAGTACAGGATTTTCCTGCCAATAAAGGTGTTCTCCAGTTTATGGATACCTTATTAAATACTGTAACAGAGCTCGCAAACTCAAGAGGCATATTGATCTGAACATTTATTTATCCGTGTGAATACATGCATTAGCATGTGTAGCCTGTGAAATATGCTTCAGATTAGCAGATCTTGGTACTGTTCAGCTAACTACAATGTGGCACTGTGACACTGAACCCCAGTTGTACCAACTTGTAAAGTTTAGCTTCTTTCGATATTAAGACTGCAGTTTTTATCTGTCATAACAGAAGCATTCTGAAATTTTGCTCTGGTGAAGAAATATGTTTTGTCTGGAGCAAACACAAAGGCCCATGGATGGTATTTGACCCAAGCGAAAGATGTGTCACCCCTACCAAGTACAAACCCAATGTCTTTATTTCAAATGGGCAGCGTACAGTTTCATGTCAACACACCTTTGAGTGTCAGAATGTCATTTGGGCAATGGTGAACTCGTTAGGAAAGCTTCAGTGGATAGATTTATTCAGTGAAAGTGAATTTACCAAGAAAAACTTCAACTGTGTGAAGAAATCATGAGTCTGTGTGGCAGCCTCCTCCATCGGAGGTTAGATCTCAAATCTGGGTAACCTGGCTTGAGGCTGGAAAGACTTGCAATAGATATTTGTGAGACTTCACTGTTGCATATATTTTGGAGGGGTGGGAATGGGGCTGGGGGTGGTGGTGTTGCAGTCAGTAACAAAACCATTGTCCCTTTATTGTAAAGAAAACTGGAAATTGGTTTTGGTAAGACCTTGGCAGTGGGCAAACTTAACCCTCCTATGCAGAAGTCAGTATTTGGGTCAATTCATCAGCTGCACAAAGAAGCACAGCTGTGTCATATTGTGCACTGCACCAACTATCCCTCACAGGAATATCAGGTTGCACTTTTGCGCTGTCCAACAACTGTGCCTCACTGTTTTACGTGCGCAATCGCACAGTAAACCAACTTCAGTGAAGAGGACGGCACAAAAGAGCCTGTGTCATTTTGTGCCAGCAACCAAGCGTATGCACATTGAACCTGTGCATATTTGTGTTCCACATAAAAACGCATGAACAAGAGTGACTGTTGGCATTCATGCATATCTGTGCTGTTAAACCATAGGAGGATTAATAGTCCTTGTAAATCGCTGCCAGGGTAGGTCAAGAGTCCATCCTTATGGGAAAAGTGTAAACAAACATTCTGCCGGATTATCCCGTTAGTTGTTTATGAATTTTTTTCTTTTATGTTACTGTTGACTTTTTTTTCTGGTATTTTCCTTTGGTGTAATTTGTATTTAAATCTGGACTTTTGTTTAGTTGGGGAAATCTAGACTGGCATTTTGTTTTCTATTTTTTGCTGTTTGGCTAAAATCTGGACTTTTCCCTTGCACTTGAGGAGCTCTGTGTATGATAAATATTTCTTTTGCGTACCCTTTTTTGTATGAACAAGCAAAGAAGCTTCCACTCTGTATGGATGCATTGCTTAGACCTCCAGTGATAAGAACATGAAATGGATTTAGATTTAAGTTTACAGGTGGAGGAGGATATGGATGAAATGATGAAATGCCCAATCCACGAACTGGAAATTCAAAAAAAAAGTAATACAACTAGACATTTTCTGAGACCTGGGGAAACGTTCATTACTCTGTGCACATGTTGGTTATTATTGCACTTATACTAAGGTGTATTTCCCCCGCTACTGACAGTCGTCTTGGCTCCTGCATCTTATTTCCTTCTTAAAAATAAAACTGGGGCGGGGGGATCCTGTAGTGGAGGTGGGGATGTATCCTGACCCCCTTGAACCAATGCACTTGGTACTGTCATTAATTGAGCAGCATTATTGCGGTTCAGCCACACTTGCGGGACATTCCTTTTGCTTGCTTTAAGTTTGTGTGCATTCAGTTGAAAAAGAGCATTGGACACTGCATGCCATGTGCCACTGAGAGCACACTTGTGATGAGTCGTTCGCTGACTGTCGTACGTGCATGTAGGCCGCATAGGGGCCATTAAGAATTCCTGTTTAATGTCCACAATCTCCAGTATCTTGAGTGAATTAAAAACTTTGGGTTTTAGGCATGCAGTGAAGAGTTCGGTGTATTGCAAGTCACCGATCAAACTGTGTTATCTACTACTATGGAAGCAAAAAAGAGGGAGAAAAATAGGAGGAACGGAGTCTGGTTCGTTTTCCACACAAAGATGAAGTGAATTTGATCTTGTGAAATACAATAACATTTGCCAAAGTGGAAGCACACGTTTCTTGCGAATTTACAGTTCACATACATGAAAAGACCTCAGCAGCCACTTCACCTCTTCCTAAATTGATGAAAATAATAATTTTAGTTCTTGTAGAGATTTTAAAGGGGGGGTAGAGGGATCATTCAGAAAGGCGAGTCCATAGAAGTTTTGCTGACAGATTTTTTGCTCTAGACTCCGCATCTGCTGTGGATTCACACAGACTGGTTTTGTTCAGAAAAGGGAAGTCCAAAGTTCAGGGATATTTGCTCAATGAGAGAACCGAGGGGTGCCTGTTCCATGTTTCTCCTCTTTGCACCTGTACCCTTCCCCTTGTGTCAAATTGACAATTCAGGTTACCATGGTAACACCATCACTGGTTACTTGTAGTGGCCCCCTTTAATGGCAGTGAGCATTGTGCCAGCTATTGCATGGAACCACTGTTCATGACTTACAATGCTTACAGCCATTTAAGGGGCCATCAGGAGTGTCCAGTCAAACATCAGTGGATTCATCTGTAGACTGGAGCAACACTTAAGTGCTTATGTCGTCCTGGTTTCAAGGTGTAGAGGATGGGTTTTCACATGCAGTTACAAAGACTTGCAGCCAAGGCTTGGACCATTGGTGCTGTGCACCCACCATATCTGTATGCAGATGACACAGAGCTGTGAAGTTACTGGTTGTTTGGGTAAAAAAAAGAAGGGGGGGTACAAAGCTTAAAAAAAATATGCGAGTAGTTAATTAGTTGAGGCAGCCAGCCTTGAAAATTGAATGCCCTTTTGGATTTTTTTAAACACAGAGCCCCCCTTTTCATTTATATCAGTTCAAAGGAGTTTTTCCAATAAAATGTTTTGACAATCTCTGAGAGATTGTGCACTTCAAAGGAAGTCCTCAATCATCGCCTGAAGTATGGTCTGTTTTTATCTGTTTTGAGTCAAATGATGCCCTTGAGAAGTGGAAATAGTTAATTTTCTTCGTGCGCACTTCATTTTTCAAAAGTTCAAATCATACTTCCCTGTTTTATGGAAGTGATTTGCTCGTTAAGTTCGTTAAAATACATAGTAAAAAAAACATCCTGCAAAAGAAGTTTCTCCCTGCTGGTGTTCTACCATACTCATTAACTTTTTGAATTAATTTCCCTTTTTTTTTACAAAGTTTTATCCATCTTTGGCATTTTTCTGGGTAAAAATTTAAACTAAATGGTACATGAATTTGGTGTTAGAATCTTGCATGAAGTTTGTGAATGTAATCTTCAATCTCCAGCTCCTGTCAACGGCAAGGGCAAATCCAGATCTATTTTGAGGGTGAGGGGTCAAACATTTTTTTGGGGGGGGGAATCAGGGAGTTTTTTGTAATAAACTTTTTTGTGGCTTTTATGAGGGCTTGGGCTACCTTTAGGGACATTTTACACATTTTTTGAAGGAAGAGAAATGAAGCTCACCCCCAAAATCAACTTTCATTCTTTAAAAATATTTTGGGGCTCCTTTTTGGTGGGATGACCATCGCATGCCCCCGGATCCGCCAGTGTAAAAAAGACAAATTAATGAGCAAGTAAACTATGACAAATAGTTTCAATCTCATTTACTTTGGGGAAAAGTACGTGATAAGGGAGTAGGGATTTACCGAAGAAAGTGACAGAGGCGTTGAATGTCATAATCATGAATGTCCTTGGCCAACGTTTTACCTCTGAACTGTCGTAAAGTTCGTGTTGTTTTCTTATAGCCTAAAAAGACGGCGTAGCAATGGTTAAGGCCAAAACCTCCATGGTTAAGGGCATGTGAAGATTCATTATGATTAATCTATCTGGAGGCTTATAATTTTGCTTTGCTTGGAAGGTATGAAATTGGGAAAACTATAATCGTGGGCGGAAGCAAGGTATTCCATATCTACACCCCTCCCAAGTTTGATAAAAGCCGTGTGTATGAGGTGGATGTTCAAAATGTACGCGGGTTATATAAGTGCACAAGGATGCAGAAAAAAATTGGGGCGTATGAATGATGAATTTTTACTTCATCCAATAAGAAAACAAAAACTACCATTAAAAATGGCAATGTTGAATCCTATTCTTCGTTGAATAACTTCAGCTGCAGCCTCAAGTCCGAGGTTGTAACTTGCAGGATTTGGACGCCGCTTCGCGGCGCTACACGATCTTTGATTTGAAAATATACGTGGATTACTGAGACGGGATGCGTAATTTGTCAACCTCCTCGCCCTATTAGATAGTAAATGTCTGTAATAGGTTAATTATGGGGGGGGGGTCAAATTAAACGTTTATTCCAGGCTTTTGTATTTAGTTTACAAAAATAAATCACCCCCTCTGGTAAGCATTACCACCGGTTACCTATCTTTCTTGTTTACACCGTACCACAGCATAATGCATAATTCCTTGAAGCGAAGGGAGCCCTCAACACTTGAGTTATTTTCAGCAAATGACATCATCCTTCAGGCGGGAATACGTAAAAATAAAATATAATAAATTACCCTTTTACCCCTCTTCTAATGAGGATAGTCCTTTAAAAATACGTGGAAGCAGTTTGTAATAATATAGCCTAATAGTGGAAAGCTTGAAAGGACGAAAATTAAATTTCTGAAGAGAAATGTCGTCCTTCGTTCGTTATTTCAAAAATGAATGAAAAAGAAAGTAAGTAACGGCTTCATTGGAGACTATCACGACATGTGTCAGAGGTGAATCTATTTCTCAATTTAGCGGGTCCCCGATATACTACGTGGACGTTACCCGTGGAAAATCGTGGAAAATAAGATGTCTCGTGGTCGGCTGAGTACCAGTGATAGCACACACTTTTGGAGGTTCTCTCTTTTTCCGGAGTATGCCCGCACTTCGAAGACACAGAATAACGGATTTTCGCCAGTTTTGTTCCCAAAATCTGGTTGAAAATGCCTACCAATGGGGCTGCAGACGAGAGGGCAGAAGATCTACATGACAGTTGTGATGATAGTGAAGACGAACAAGAAATACTGGAAGAAAGTCCATGTGGTCGGTGGCAAAAACGAAGGGTGAAGGTACGTACCCGACATGACAGTACACACACCACAAAAACATGCGCTACTTCCTTGCCAGGTCTATGTGTCACCACACGTTGAACTGTATTTTGTGGTGTGAAAGATTTACACGTGACAGTTGCTATAACTGATGGTTCAGAACAGTACTATAAACAATGCACGTAGACTGTAGGTGACTAATTCGTTGGTTACCTGAAATGTTGCCTCTTTTCAGACAAGTATGTTAAGTTCTACAGCAAGGCTAACTCACGTCACCTTTGTCTCAATTTCACTCGGATTAAATTTTACTTTGATTTGAACAATGTTTTGCTGACTGTGGCATCATGGCATGAGTTTTGGTCCAAAGTCATGGAAGTGTTGTTTGTTGTGGTAACAGCTGTTTTTTCAAATTGAAATTCAATTAACACAAAAATAATTTTGTTTGTTTTTAAAACTCATGCTATACAATTTTAAAGCTACACTTTATTAACCTCCAGACATTATTTTAAAGGATTCCACTTCAGCATTTGTGTACAAAGTCTATGGGGAGTGAAGAGAATTTTTAAAGTATTGCTCAACAACATCGGTAAATGTTTCTCAGTCCAGAATTCGTGTCTTTCCGGCATTTCTGTAATGACTGACTTTTATTGAGATGATATATGATGAGAAAAGTGGAATCGGGATGCAACATTATTTCCATTTTAAAAAGTAAAAAGTGTAAAATGCTGTTTGTCTTTTGTCAATTTGATAAAAAGGGAAAAATACACTATTGATTGGAATGTATTCAATAAAAGCACTATTAGTTAGTCTGCTTTCATAACGAATGACATCTTTTTTTGAATTTCTGTATCAATTCCTTTTCTGAAGAAATTATCTATTTCTGTCCATGAGAGGAATTGCTCATCAGATCATCACAATTTCCAGGTGTCATGAATGCCGACAATTTTTAAAAGAGGCGCTTGTTAACTTTGGGGGGATTTTAATCAGTGGAAGGGGTTTGGTACCCAGGGCAGTGGTTTCAAAATAGGGTGGAAAATGGAAGTTGGGATGGTCCAAAATGTGGAACTCTTTTCCTGTCCTTTTATGGCGGGCCATGATAGAACTTTCCAGTGCTTTTGAATTGAGACCAAACATTAGGTACTTAAGTTCAGGTGTACTTTATTCATTTTGTAGCTGTATGTTTCAAGATAGGAACTGGCCAATTTGGTTGTCAACAAGTTGTTGAATGTTGCTTTTTGAATTTTTGAAATTGGGTGACCACAACAGAAGCAGAGGGGCGTCTCTTTTTGAGAAGACATTTTTTGTTGACAAAAGAGGATATGGTCTTCTTGTGTACATGTTAAATTGTGGCACGTTGACCACACTTAATGCGTACCCTATTACCTGTGTTTGGCTTCTGGGCATGTATGGTACAGTTATTATGACTGTTACGCTGTTTTAAAAGTACAAGTATGTTTGTGATACAAAGACATGCTTTCAAGAATCAAGGGAATGAGCGGAGATAAGCAGTTAAGGACATTGTGGCAAATACAAGCAACATATCTTTATGTTGCCAGAGATACATGTATTTTGCTTTATCACATAATTTCGTTGGGAATCTGACATGGTGGACCCCTCCCCAGGTGCCCAAAACATTGATGTGACAACTCATGTGGCTTGTAGACACATACAGACCGACAGTATCAGGTTATGGTGAGAAATGAGGCTCACTATTTTTTCTTTGACCAACTTGCAGTGGGATGCAGGGTCTCTTTCTACACGTTCTCCTCTTACACCATGTATTTTGATCGGAAGTTCTAATTTGGCGTTGCACTCTTCACGTTCAGAAAAGTGCTCAGTTAGTGTGGAGTAGTACGTCGCTTTTGTCTATGAGTTTGTTATTCCTCACAGTGATCACATAACTGTACTATTTGACATTTTGGGGAAAAATAGAAACTAAGAAATCAACTCTCACACATTCATGAACCTCTCCACATCCTTTGAAAGCCCCAACCCACTAGAAGGCTTTACAGGATTTTGCGGGATTGAGGAAGGCACTTGATAGCCTCGCATTTTGTTAGTTGCACCAGCCAACTACTGATTGGTTTGCAGGATCCATGACGTTTGAAGCAGCATACAGGGTTGTTAAGGCTTTGAACTAAGATTGAAAAAAAAATTTTTTAATGCCGTAATCAATCACTGGTGCATATTTAATCTTGGCAGTATCAAGCCTGATTACTGTTGGGTAATCCATTCAGATGGCAAGTGTTATTGGTGCAAAGCATCCTGGATGGCTCAGTCATGAAGCAAGAGAATTATGGCTCTAGATGGCCTCCTTCCCTACTTCAGACATATTAAAATTGTTGACGGATCCTATCTATTGATTTATAAGACTATTTACTCAGTAACTACTAAAACTTCTTACCATGTAATTTCACATACGACCTCCTATTTTTAGAATTAACAATTGTACTGGTAATATGTGTGAATGGAAAGGATACATTCATTTCGAACCCTCTTGCATAGAAAACAAATGAACATGTATGCATTGTTATTGCACACGTTATTATGATTTCAGTGCCTTGAATCGGCACCAAGTTGGATACTTGTGAACCAGCCAATGTAGTTTCTGATCTCTATTATGCTTACATTGACACCACACCAGTTAACCGGTATTTAATTTTACATGTGGGAAATTTGGCATGCAGCCGTTATGACCTTGTGGTGACTAATGCATCTATAGGCACATGGGCGACGAGTTATTGGAAACGACATAATCAGTTGAACATGAATCTCATTAAACAGCTTATGCGATGCAATTATTTTAATTTAAACCCTCAAAAATGCACGTTTTTTTGTCCTTGGCAACCTTGTTTTCAGTTTTTGTTTCATGAATTTGAAGGATAGTCTTTCTGC